CCCCAAAACCCCAAAACCCCAAAACCCCAGGATCCTTAATTTTATGAAGAAGATTATGAAACTTCTGAATTTAAATTTACGAATTATAAATTAATAAGTCAACTTGAAATAATGGAAGCTAATTTCTAACAGTTGCATCAGCCAATCAACTACAGCAACCCCATTAATCCAGCTTAATTTTAAGCTCACACTCAAAATTAGAATGGAGTAAATCTGGTAATAATTATATTTATAATTTACCTTTTCAAATTTAGATTAATCTGAACAATATTGGGAAAAATGATAATAATCCAAACTAACAATAACAACAGCCTCAGATCAGTGCTTAAAGAAATAATTCAATAGGAAATCATAACGATAATGTCATAGTATAATATATATTCTATAACTCTCAATTTTAGATGAACTAGAATTTTAAGTTTCCTCCATAGCCACAATAAAACAATCAATTTTAAAATGGTAATCCAACAAATACAAATGCTAGGCCTATGTCTCGTGGAGATCTTCAAACGAATCGTATTCAGCAGCATTAGATGTAGAATGCATTCGCTATTTCAAATGATTCACAATCATTCTAACTACCATCAAATACGAATAATTCTGGTAATATGCAGCCTTAATTCCATTTTATTGCAAATCAATAAAAGTTTTATGCTTAAATATCTCCAGATAAAGCACCAATGTTGTTCAGGTAAGTTATTAAATCGATTTAAATTTAGATGTAATAGTGATAAGAGGCCATTTACATAGGGAAATCAAGCAAACGGAGGAAGTGCCTAAACTAATGAAAGAGCGAACAGTAATAATCACTCCAATTCTAAAACGTATCTATTAAGAAAAAATTTATTGTTTTAGCGGAAGAGGAAAAAATCAGTAAAACCAAAATCCGATGCCCTATATTTAGATTGCTTCTAAAACTCATACAGGAAGTTTTCCATTAACTTAAATGTAGATAGGACCGCAAGGTACTAAATATGTGTCATCCACGACACAACTTGACTAAAATTCCCATAATAATCATCTTGTTTCTATCTTCTCTTAGAACAGCACTAATGTTAATATTAATCAACAACCATCAGCAACTTTGCAAAATATTCTTAATCAGAATAACAATAATCACTTAAAAGTCAGTAAAATCAAACCAAATAAAAATAATATTAAAGAAAAGGAATAACTCTATGAGGATGCCATCAAATTGAAGATATAGTCAAATAATTATAGAGAGGAGAATATTAAACTTAAGACTAAAATTAAGATACTTGAAAATGAAATGTAAAAAAAGGAAAAAGCAATGGAAGAATTCTTATAAAAGATGTCGTTAAACCAACCAACCGCTCACTAAGCATCTCTATTTTACTCTCCTATGACAAATGTAAAACATTAAATTCCATAAACTATAACTGGGACAACTGGAGGTTTAGGCTCCGCTTCCGGATCTATCGGAGGCTAACCTGGAGTTATTCCCCTGAATAATAATTTTATGGCCTCTACTTCTCAAAAGATGCAGAATGAATCCTTTTTAGTAATGTCCTTAAAAAAATAGTTGAAGGACTCAAAACTTGAAACTTTGAAGAAGGAAGAAGAGCTTGAATTACTAAAGAAAAATATTAAAACAACTTAGAAAACTGAAATCGAATCTGAACTTAAAGCCTATCAAGATGAACTTTAGAGAATGAGATTCTTAATGGAAGAACTTATGAGGGAGGGTCCTAATCATCCTATATACTAAAAGCAGGCATTGGATAAAATTTAAATTCTTGAGTCTTAGAGACAGCAATAAGATTATCACATAAAGTAACTTTAATAAGATAATACAGATCTTGCTAACCTTGTCAAACAGAGAGATGAGGAAATTTAAAAGAAAAAAGATGAAAAAGAGAAGAAAACTGAAATGAAAAATGAATTAGCTAAACTTAAAAAGAGTGTTAGAGATAAAGATAAAGACTTAATCAAGTTAAGAACCGAAATAAGCAGTCTTAAAAAAGTGTCTTAGATAACAGCTTAGTCAACAGAAAATTCTTCAAATATGACTGGATAAAATATTAGCAGCAATAAAGTTGAAGAGAAAAAAGATACTACTGCATTAGAGAATCAGATAAAATAACTGCAAAAAAGACTTAGAGATACTCAAGCTGAAATTAAAGCAAAGAAAGATAAAATGGATGAGCAAGATTAAGTAATTAAAAAGCTTCAAGAGAGATTATAATAAAAATTAGATGAAATAGCTATTGATCAAAAGAAAATAAAGATTCTCTCAGAAGAATTAGAAATATATAAAAAAGAAAAAGAGGAGATTAAAAAACAAGAATTGTAGATATAAGATCTAAAGGAAAAATTTAAGAAAGATATTGCTGTGTTAATAGTAGAATGTAAGCATGAAGAAATTAGTTATGAAAGCCTGATCTCAAATATCGAAAAGTGCAAGTTTTTATTCTCTAATAAACTTTACGATTCAATTAAAGATTTAGATAAAGATACACTCAAGAATTTGATCCCAATGTATAGTTTAATCACTGAGAAATAAAAAGTAGATTTAGAAAATTAAGTTAAAGAAAAGATTTCTAGATGCAAAACAACTTTAAAAGAAGCATGTGAAGTTGAATAGAGCGACTTTTCTTAAAGTTATATTTAATTCAACCAGTTTGAAGAAGCATTACAATCTATTGACATAATTCTAAGTGAAGATATATTAGATTTTCTTAAAGTCAAGTACTATGAGAGAATTGGAGAGTCTTAAATTGGATTTGCATTCAAAAAGCTATTTGAAGATTAAAAATAAAAAAAATAAAAGAATAATGTCCAAGTACTTGAAAGCTAAGTACCTGTAAAAGATGAAAGTAATAAGAGATCCAGACCTACCACTGCGAAAAGTAATCATAGTCAGTCTTAGCTCTAATAAAAATCAACTCATAGTTTAAAGCAGATAAGAGAGGATGATGAGAAAGACTATGAGGAAGACTATGAGGAAGATTTTGAAGATGGAAAGAAAGAAGAATAGAAGCCACAAAATATTTCAAAAGTTAGTACAAAAAGTAACAAAGTTGCAAAAAAAGATGAATCAGATAAAGAGCCAACGAAACCAGAAATCAAAAAATCTAATGAAACTTCTAAAGTAGAGAAAGATGATTTTTCATCAGTTAAAAAGAAGAAAAGATCTAGATCTAATGATTAAAGCGAGAAAAAAGAAACAGATGAAGGTGATTCAGAAAATGCAGAGGTATAAAAATTTATGCAGGAAGAGGAGATGCTAGATATTGCAGAGCATTGCTTCATTCGAGTTGCTGAAATGCTGCTAGAAAGAAACAAGACAGCAAGAGCAATTTTTACTAAATACTCTGTACCCGAGTAATTTCCAGATGGAACTATACTCGAATTGATGTCACCCATAGCCTTTCTTGAGGCAGTGAAAGAAGCGGGAATGGAAGAATTATCTGAAATGGAAGCTGCTTGTCTCCTAAGAGTTCTTGCAAAACCAGAACTAGATAATGCTATAATTCTAAATGAATTCATAATGATAATGGAAAACTTTGGAGTAATGGACGCTTACGAAGATGATGATGACGAGGATGACTACATAAAAACAGAGGATGAAACAGATGGTGGAGAATAAAGTAAATCAAAGATTTTAGATAATGATAAGCAAGAGGAAAAGAAAGTAAATGATGGTAAAGAAGATGAGGAAAAGAAAGAAAAGATACTTAAACCTAAGAAGAAAAAGAAAATACAGATTAATTTTGATCTCTTAGAGGAAAAAGGTCTTAAAATATTATAAAAGCTAGCCAGATTTTTATTGGAGAGATATCTTCATCCAAGAGAATTTTTTGGACCAGCTATATATAAGTAGTTAGTAAAGACGAAGAAAAGAGAGAATAATGTTGATATCATGCAAACTAAAGATTTTTATCTTAGACTTAAAATTGCTGGTATCAGAAAGACTGTAAAAGAAATAGATAATCTGAATAAATTTCTTTGCCTTGATGAAAAATTCCCTCATTTAATGCAAGTTAAAAGAGTGATTAAAGCATTGGAAGAAGTTGCATAAGGAGAACAACTCAAATTGTAAGAAGAAATGATGAAGAAATAAGAAGAGATGATGAGAAATGGTGAGCTAGAAGCATCACCAGGTAGAGAAAAACTTGAGACTGATGAAGACGAGGGAGATATTGGAGAGGATGAAAGAAAAATGAAAAAAGCTATGGCAGCTGCTTAAAATAAGGACGGTAAAAAGTTTGGCAATAATCAAGATTTGTTAAGAGAAGCAGGACTTGGTTCTGCTGGATTGATGCCCTAATCATAATTAACAGGTGGACCAAGCAGCTATGGAATGAGTAATTTAAGTGGAGGCTATGATTACGGAATGATGAGAGGAGGACCTCCTTCTAAAATAGCAATGCTTATGGGATTCAACCATCTTAATACAATTGAGGAGGAAAAGCATGAGACCTAAAACTCGAACTACTTCAGAGATTTAGAGAGCGAGAGAGATGAATCTAAGTACCACAACAATAGTAATTTCCTTGCTAAAGGTTCAAGAATTCTCGATGATGAATAACTATATGATTAAAATTCAAGCAACAAGCCTTCTCCTTACTAGTAGAAAGGCAAAGAGAATAACGGAGAAGAAGAGGATGATGATTATGAAGAATAAGAGGATAAAAAACAATACAATGAGGATGAGCAAGAATATGAAGAAGATGAGGATGACGAAATTCACGAGGAGAAACATTCTGATAGGCCAAATTTCTAATCCAATAATCAACTCAAAAACATATCTACACTCAAAGATGAAGAATTCAAGGAAGCAAGTCAAAGAATTGACACGGAAAATTTGGACAAATCAATCAAAGACATGAAGAGCGTCCAGAGTCATGATGAAGAGGTTGAGGATGAATACGCTGATCACCAATATCAAGAGGAGGATCTTTAAGATGATAATGCAGATATAAAGGACGAATTAGTAAAAAGCAATAGAAAAGTAGAAGAGGACTAGGAACAAGAGTATGAAGAGGAAAGTGATTATGAGATTTGATGAAAATAATACTCATATAAAAATTGCTGATAACATACATGTTTGTGTTATGTTGAATGATGAATTAATAAATAATAGTTATCACCTTTAATATACTATTTAAGCTTTATGGGGTTTTGGGGTTTTGGGGTTTTGGGG